AAAAAAAAAAAAAAAAAGAAAGAAGTGTATTAGACTCGGCACCTGTAGCTCAGAGGCTAGGGCACCAGCCACGTACACCCTGGAGCTAGCAGGTTTGAACCCAGCCTGGGCTTGCCAAACAACAATGACAAGTACAACCAAAAAATAGCTGGGCATTCTGGCAGGCACCTGTAGTCCCTGCTACTTGGGAGGCTGAGGCAAGAGAATCTCTTAAGTCCAAGAGTTTGAGGTTGTGAGCTATGATGCTATGGCACTCTACCAACAGTGACATGGTGAAACTGTCTCAAAAAACAAAAAACAAAAAAAGAAAGAAAGAAAGAAAGAAATAAGTGTATTAGTAATCAAAAGGAAGGCTTGAAATGGGTCAAGCACTTAGCCCTTTATAGGTGCTTAATAGTATCTGTTGAATGAATGACTGGATGCATGGAAGGATTGGCTTAAACCAGGAAGAGTCAGAGAATAAAATCCTGATTAAAAAAGGGTGTCTTCTTAGGACAGTCACGTCAGTGTGATCATGGGTGTTTGGTTTCTTGTATCCTTACACTTAGCCCACACATACCGCAGGAAAGGCTGAACAGTTTGGAACCATTGTTCCCATTGGATTCATTTCTAGGGATATTCAGCCTGCAGGGCTGCATGTGGATTATTTGAAGACTGTTTTCGATTATCTGTAGTGTCAGACATCACAGAAAGTATGCAGGGACCTTTTCTTTTTTGCTCATCAGCTTTCTTTAGTATTTGTGTGTTTATTTATTTATTTATTTTAATTTTATTAAGTCAAATACACAGTATTTGTGTATTTAAAGTTGACCCATGGTGATCCTTATTCTTCCAATTTGTGGCAGAGAAGAAAAAAAAGTTGGACACCTCTGGTTAAACTGTCCTTTCCATACTTTCTATAGGAGTTAATATTTAAAGAGACTCTTCCTTGGGTTGATGGTCACTATCGGCAAAATTGAAAAACTAAGACTTATTTTGCACAAGTAAGAAATAATTTTGGAAGTGACTGACAAAAATTGTGATCTGTTTTTGTTGTTTTGCTATTTAGTGTTTTATGCTTACATGTAAATCCAGTTATACATTCACATAGTTTATAGGGATAAATCATTTTCATTTCTGCAGTATGAAAGACTACCAACCCCTCATTCCCACTGGGAAACTATTTTCATAGTTTGATGCTTTTTTCTGAGTGCTGCTACCTACATTTCAGCTCTTTCTGTTGCCTTGCACTCTCTTGCTGAAGCTCTGGGATGGCTATATTCATCTCTAACTTGTAGAAGTGATAATTTCAGTGAGTCCAATTTTGCTTATAGTTTCATTTGTTTTGATGCATTGTTTTCTTATAATGATTCTTAGGAAAAACTCTTGTTTTCACTTCTTCATTCCTCTTTCCTGTGCTTTCTTTATATAGATCTTTTATTCTTTTACTAAATTGGTAAAGTACATAAAAGTTACCATTTAAAAAATTTAAAGTGTATGATTCAGTGGCATATAGTACATTCACAATGTTCTTCAACTACTATCTACTTCCAGAACATTTTATTCAAATTGGGTTTCCTTTATTCCCAAAAGGAAACTCCACTCTGCAATCACTCTCCATTCCCTTCCCCCTAACCCCTCGCAATCTTCTTTCTTTCTAATTTGAATGTTTTTAATTTCTTCTTGTTGCTGAATTGCTCCACCTAGAGCTTGCAGTACAGTGTTGAATAGAAGTGGCAAAACCGGTATCTTTGTCTTATTCCTGATTTTGGGGGAAAGCTTTCACTCTTCCACCACTGAACTTGATTATTATCTGTAGGTTTTTCATAACTGCCCTTTATTGTATGCAGGAAGTTCTTTTCTATTTCTGGTTTTTTGAATGTTTTTTTTTTTTTTTTT